TGTGATCATGCTGTAAAAAGGAAGGAGAAAAATCAACTGCCTGCGATACTTTAATTCTATACAGTCCATCAGCTTTATGCAACTCTGTTATGTTGTTGCATTGTTATTTTGTGTTTTTTTCACTAATCATTCGACAACGAAATGGTTCAGTTAAGAAAAGTCAGATTACTGAATATTTCTTTAAAAAGGTTTGAAGGGAACAAAAACATTTACATTGTGACGAGGCAGTTTGCCAGATTTTTTGATATTTCTGCTAGCTGACAAGGCGAAGTGTCTCACTAGGGAGGGCTGGTTGTGGCTCAGCAGCGTAGGACGCTACGTCAGTGATTATAAATTCACTGGTTCATGTCTGAGGGTCAGCAGAGTGATGTCAGCAGAGTGATGTCACTCCTGGGCCCTTCAGTAAGGCCCTTAACCCCCAACTGTGTCACCCTACATACTCTGAAAAAAATCTAAATATAAGCACCTGCTAGCAAAATGCTTTTGTTACATATTAGTGGCTGAGAATTGTCATGTGACATAATTTTCAAATTGTTTTCCACTTAAGAATACAAATACTGGAAATACATCTCGAATCTCATTTGGCCATCATTTTAAGGCAGTATTTACCAACCTAGTCCTTGGGGACCCACAGATGGTCCACATTTTTGCTCCCTCCCGGCTCCCTGCCAGCCAGTGCACATTTTTGCTCACTCCCGGCTCCCTGCCAGTCAGTCCACATTTTTGCTCCCAGCCAGCTCCCCATACAGTAAAAACATGGACTGTCTGTGGGGTCCCCCAAGAACAGACGGAGAAACGCTACTTGAAGTACTCTGTAGTAACAGCCATCACAAATGACGCTGTTAAAACCCAACGATGCTGACGAACACGGTCAGATCAGTCACACAGTTGCCCATAATCATAAATGTGGCAACCAGGAGAATGTAATGGGTTAAATTGTCCAGCCAAGGCAAGCAGTCCTTCATCACTTTGTTTTTAAATAGCATGCGCTTGGCTTTAACATGCTGCACAATCGGCACTCGTGGGATGTAGGGGCCGGTCTGATTTAGCCTTGTACCCCTTTAAGCTTAGCCAAGTCACACGGTGTGTTTGGTGCTACATCTGCCTGTTCTCAGGGCCCCAAGGGTCAATGAAATCCTGCCTGTACAGCAGAGGAGTGGAATACATTATAGGCGCTAACTACCATGAGATTATTGTCACATTTTTTTTGGCCCCGTTCTTTGAAAAGTGGTGCTCAACCTCTCGCAGCCTGTTATGTCATCAAAGCCGTCCAGCAAATCAATTTTTCATGCCACAAAGTCAGGATTTAAAATAAAATAAAAAAAAACTTCTGCAAAAGTGCACCGAATGTGATCTCTCGTTCCAGAAAAGTGGACAGGCTGGTTCGCATCGCCATTAAACGCACTGGCATCCGTCAACCCCAGAGGCACTAGGACCCTGCGTGCGAATGGCCACAAGAGGGTCAGTGTGAGTAAAGCAAACGGACTTAAGAAGTTCATCACCACTGGCCAAATGAAAAACAGCCACTCTTCTGTAACACCAATAAAGTAACACTGTCAGGTGTTAGGGTCTCCCCTTTGTGTGAAAATAACCACCAGCTTTTTATATGTGGCCGTTACATACAGTTTGGCCGCCACGGTGGTACAGTGGGTGGTTCTTCCACATCACATCTGCAAGGTGCGAGAGCTGAAGCCCACGGCCGTCTGCGAAGTTTGCATGTCCTCCCGATATCGTGCAGGCCTGCCACAGTCCAAAGACAGGCAGGTAGGTGAAACGCGTTATTGAATGGCGCAGAACGTGTGTTTTTGTCAACGAACCTTGTGTTCCACTATCCTTGTGCCCTGTGTGGTCTGCAATCTGACCCTCTACTGGATAAGGGACTGGAAGATAAATGGACCCGCCTGTTTTTAGTGGTCACTTGTGCCTTTTTTCGGATGCGGCAAGACAGGCAGCATCCTGGACGGGCCGAAAGTGCATCACGAGGCCCTCGGGTCCTCTGGGAGTCACACAGCCAGGCCATTACAGCCGTGCGCCGTCCTTGGGCCGTAGGAGGAGAACCAGCACAAACACGGAGAAAACATGCAAACTAGACCCTGGTGCAGTGAGGTGACAGTACTATGAAAATGTACATACAGCACAGGTAATACCTAGCTAACAATGCATCAGTCCGCTTCACGGCCCTCTGCAACATCTCCCAGGCCATTTCAAATGATTAGCTTCAGCCACACCTCCCCCCTCCCCCGCAACAAAAATTGCTTGTCGTTCCTGCTTAGTGCAGCACCACGGGCGGCGAATGGGAAGGGAGATTCCACTCAGGTCGCTGCCCATTGGCTGTCCGCTGCAATGGAAGCGGAGACTGACTGACTAAGTGTTTTCCCGTCATTGCCGTAGTGATAAGAGGGATGTTTCATTTAATGACGAGATTATTAAAAAAAGCACGGATCAGGGTTGGGGGGGTGATTGGTTGAATCCTCCTATTTCACGTATTAGATATAAAACAAAAGGCTGGCTCATTTCACGGCATGTAAATGTTAATCACCCTGGGCATTTCGTCGTCTGTGGCTTCTGACGTTATTTGAAAATAGCCCTTCGCCAGTTACAGTACATAACCCACATGTCACACCTGCTTAAATGACAGGGGCCACCGTGTCCCTTAGCGATGCGCCAACAGAGCCAGGGACCAGACGCTTCCGAGGGTTTGCGATGTGTGAGCGCCACCTGTCCTTTCCGCGCCTGGGCTGGCGCCCACAACATGTGGCACAATCGAATGACGCCGGGCGCGGCAGGGACGGGGTGATGTTTCACAGGTCACTTCTGCGGAAACGGCAAGGTGAGGAGTGAGCTGTCGCATGAACACCTAACTTTCATCCTGTCTTGACAGCCTTCGGTTCCTGTTTTTGTTTTTTATTTCCAGGATGGGGATCATCAAGTGGATTATGGAGTCAGGTCTTCTTAACTGATATAGGATTTTAAGTGTTCATCAGTTTGGGCTCTCCTTTGTTGTATTTTTCATTTCGTGATGTCGAATGGTATTTTTTTTTGGGTGACAAGTCTGTGCTGCAGGCTCTTCAGCTACAGAGCCATGCTGCTGTAATGCAGGCAGAATGCGGTTTGGCATTGTCTCGCCAAAATATACCAGGCCTTTTCTGAAAAAGACGTTGTCTGGGTGGCAGGATTTGCTGCTCCAAAACCTGTATATATCGTCCAGCATTAATAGTGCCCTCCCAGCTGTGCAAGCTACCCAAGCCATGGGCACTAATGCACCCCCATACCATCACAGACACTGGGTTTTTGAACTGTCCGCTGATAACCTGGTTGGTCCCTCTCCTCTTTAGCCTGGAGGGCACGGTGTCCATGATTTCCAAAAGGAATCAGGAATTTTGACTCATCAGACCACAGGACAGTTTTCCATTCTGCTTCAGTTCATCTAAAATGAGCTCTGGCCCAGAGAAGTCAGCGGCGTTTCTGGATCATGTTTAGATCTCGCATGGTGGAGTTTTATCCTGCATTTATGGATGCAGCAACGAACTGTGTTCACAGGCAGTGGTTTTTGAAAGTGTTCCTGAGCCCGTGCAGTGATTTCCACTATAGAATTTTGTCTGTTTTTAATGCAGTGCCGCCTCAGGACCTGAAGATCACGGCTATCCAGTATTGGTTTTCAGCCCTGTCCCTTGCGTACAGAGATTCCACTGGATTCTCAGAATCTTATTGATATTATGTACTGCAGATGATGAAATTCCCAAATTCTTTGCAGCATTACATTGTACATTATTCTTACAGTGCTGCACTATTTGTCCACAGTCTTTCACAGAGC